CTCACCACCAATGTCCCTCTTTCCCCACCACCATCCCCCATTCCCCCCCCCCCCCCCCCCCCCGCCTTCCTCTATGGGAGGCATTTTCCTTCTTGCTTTCTCTCCTTTTTCTTTTATGCATTATGGTTTGCAATACAGGTGCTAAGTAGTCATGGTGTTTGTTCAGGGCATTCGGTATTTTTATCCAAATGGAAAGGCTGGAGTAGCTTTTCAACTGGGTGGAAGCTTTGGGGTGTGAATGTGACCACCAAAGCTTCTGGAGGTATAGGGACGTCGGGGAGGTAGCCCATCCCAGTCGTGAGAAAGCCTGGAGATTTCAGTCACAAATTGCGCATACCAGAATTTTCAACAGATTGCATCTTGGTGAGGTCCATCCTGAAACAGTGGAGTCAGACCTGGGCTATGGCGGCAATTTTGGATTGTGGAAGTAAGTGGCTGCCGGAGGCTCTGCTCAGGCACAGGCAAACTTACCCCCCTCTGATTTACCCTGGTTTGTTCAGCCACGCGCGGGTCTGAGCTTAATTGTGGCTTTTGATCTCTTTTGAGATCTATTTATGGGTGTCTGAAGCAAGGCCTGTAATAGGGCTTACTGGATGACACTGGAGTTGGTTCGTGGGGGTGACTGCCAGTGCTTTTATGAGCACTGGAAAGTGGGAGGTAGCCCATCCCAACTCTGAGAACGCTTGGAGATTTCAGTCACAAAATGCACACACCAGAATTTTCAACAGATTATATCTTGGTGAGGTCCTTCCTGAGACGGTGGAGTCAGGCCAGGGGTATGGCGGCAATTTTGGATTATGGAAACAAGTGACTGCCGGGGGCTCTGCTTTGGCAGGCACAGACCAACCTGCCCCCTCTGATTTACCCGGGTCTGTTCAGCTATGCGTGGATCCAAGATTGACTGTGGCTTTTGATCTTTTTCGAGATTTATCTATGGGTCTCTGAAATAAGACCAATAAATGAGCTTGTATAGCTGAGCCGGAGCTGGTTTGTGGACATGGCTCCTCCATACCTAACTTTTGGCTGTTTAATTTCTTGGTAAACTTGGTCCCTAGTTGTTGGGGTCCGGTCAAAGGCACAGCAGCAGTTTTGGGGTATCAGGAAGCCTGAAGGCACCATCACGTTGCTGATTCACTTGCCCTGCAGGTACAGGTTGACCTGTAAGCAACACCATACCCCCGAAAATAATCCTTTAGAAGTCACCTTTGAATCTACATCCTGATCATTTTCACGCAGGGTTTAACATTAGGTATGTTCAGAATAATTTCTTTTAAGGATTCCCTCTGTACAAGTAAATAATATTCTGGAGTTATTAGAAGACAGATTATGTAGGAGTTGAAGTTATTTAATTTTTCCCCCCGATATTAGTAATGACATCTACCTACAGAAGATAATACTTTTAGAAGTGCTGTGTTGTATTTTTGTTTGTATTTTGTTTTGGACTACACCTGGCGGTGCATAGAGGTTTTTCCTGGCTCTGCGCTGCAGGATTGGGACAAGCTCCTTCTGGTGGTTTTGACTCCAGGGATGGGACCTATACTGCCAGCTTGCAAAACTCAATGACCCCACCCCCTGAGCCATCTCTTCTTTTCCATATTTTGTTTTAAATTGGTCTATTTCATTGTGCAGCTAAAGATCTGATCATTCATACCTATGAACCTTTGGTCCATAAGACAGGACCAAGAAGATGGAAGTTTTTCCTGTTTATTGCTTATCCTGTACCTTTGCCTCCTTTGCTGCCAATTTTTCCCCTCAGGCTGCGTAGCCTAAAGCTCCTTGAAACAAATTTGTTTTAAGGCATTAAAAAGTGTATTTTTCATGTTAATCTGTATGCTAGGGATATCTTAGCCGGTCTAAGACCTTAGCCAGTCTTAGCTGTTTTCTTTTGAAGGAAAATGAGGGAAAGAGAAGAAAGAAATGCAGTCAAAAAGAGATTGTCAGCAGTTTTTCCTAGCAGTGCATCATATCCTGTAGGTGGATGTCATCCACTTTGGGGCCAGCTCATTCTTTAAGTCTTGGATCTATTTTTTTTTTTTTAATGTGCAATACCCTTTCCTCCACCCCTGCTATTAACATTTTAGAGAGTCAAGAAGAAAACTAATCCTATCTAAAATACTATTCTAAAAAAACCAAATCACTGGTATACTTTTGATATACTTTCCGCCAAATCATTTTTTCCTGCTGCAACTACATTTTTTCCTGTAATTTCCTTCAGCCACTTTAAATTTCTTCCAAAATTATTTTTCTTTTGCTTCTATGAAATGTCTTTTAATGTGTCCTTGGAAAGTTGGCATTAAAACAAATATTGGATGATACCACAGTGCATTAACTAAACTCATTCCAGTCTTTGTATTGGGGCTTAGGAGACAGCTTTAGAGGTCAGGTTTGCATTCCATGTATGTACAAGGACATAACTGTATCCCACCTCCACCATCCCCACGCACCCACCCCCACACACCTGAGCATAGTTAGGTATAATCCTGGGCCCCGTGAGTGTATCCCAGGCCCCTGTCAACAGAAAACCCAAACCCAATGAGCTCTGTAAACTTCATTTTTATTACATCTGCTTCTTATTTTTAATAGGTGACTAATATTGCGCATAATTACTGTTAAGTAAGTGAATGATCTTTAAAGTTAAGGTGAGGATTTTGGGAGACTACTGAGAAAACTTCTTTTTAGAAATGATATTGTCTTGATTTGTGTCTAGGATTCATCAGCTGCTGCTTTCAAACTCCCTCCCTCCCTCCCTCCCTCCCTTCCTTCCTCCCTCCCTTCCATTCCTTCCTTCCTTCCTTTTTTGCAGCAGGAAAGATAGTAGAGAGTGTAAGGCATGTACTTTGCACACAACTGACTTTGGGTTCAATTCTAGGCACCTGAACAACCCCCGGAAATGATCTCTGAGCTCAGAGCTGAGACTAATTCCTGAGCATTACTAGGTGTGGCCCAAAAGAAAATTAATTCTTTTCTAATCCATAGATATATTTTCTGTGGTAGAGTCATAAGCGAGCCTCAGTCTTCCCCCCACAGTGTGGGATTGAACCCAGGGTTTCAGTTATGTGAGCTATGTGCTGCCTTTATCACTCAGTGTTATCCTTGGCCCAGTCTTCATTCTCATTGACAGATATAAGTAGCTACTCTGTGGGAATTAGAAATGGTGTCAGATAAGATGGAATGGCCTAGATTTTCATTGGAGAAGTCTTTTTTTGGAAGAGTGAATTGATGTTTTATTTTGCCTTAGTGAAGTGAATTCCAACATGCTCATGCAATTTGTCAGTTTTAACACAGTTGATCCTATTAGGTTAGACTTACTTGAGAATTCCTTTGTGATTTGCAGTGTAATGAAATCTTACCAGTTAATTTTGTTCAAGCTAAGGAGTGGATTTAGGATGAGGGTGTTTGTGGAAATTGAGATGCATTCTCTCATGAGAATTCATTTCACATACTACGTTGCAAAGTTTAATGCTTGTGCTCAAAACATCAACAGTGTCCAGTGGCCCCCAGAGCCACCTTAGCATTGCTCAGAGTCACGAGCTCTCAGGGCTATCCAGGACAGTGTTTGGGGTCCCCGTGGTGCTAGAAATTGAACTCAGGGTCTTGCACATGCCAGGCATGTACTCTACCACTTGAGCTGTCTCCCCAGTCTCCATAAAGATATACTCCCCCACCTCACTTCCCTTCAGTCTTTTGTTACTGTGACAATTCAGGGTTGCCCAGCCTTGCTTGTGGTGCTAATGTGGACCTTCAGCAGTTCAGCAAGAAGCCACTAGCTGCACCTGGATTCATAGAATTTTCTGGCATCAACAGCAAACCTGAATTGTCACATGGGTGGCACTGAGGATTGAACTTGGAACCTCACACTTGCAAGGCAGGCCCTATAGCTACTGAGCCATCTCCCAGCCTCCTTAGATACACAGTCTTTGGCCTACTTTAGTTTTGTTTATCAGTGTATCTTTGGCATCTCCTATGGAACCTGAAAATAACAGGCACACACAGTTATTCATTGCATGCACAGTATTGATTATTGTTAATTGGGGAGTATTTAACATTCATTTGTTATTTATGAACACTTGAAATTATTTTCTTCTTTCTGTGTTTTTTGCTGGTTTTTGTTTTTTGGGCCATATCTGGTGTTGCTTAGAGCTTACTGTTGGCTCTGTGCTCAGACTCGTAGTGGTCTGTGGGCCCAGTGCCAGGAAGTGAGCCTGGGTTGGCCTCATGCAAGGGAATTCTCTGCCCACTGTACTATTACTCTGCTCCTAGAATTATTTCGTAAATTTTAAAAAAATTACCTTTATGTGGCTGGAGTGATAGAATAGTGACAGGGTACTTGCCTTGTAGGCAGCTGACTGTGTTTGATTCCCTATACATCATATGGTCTCCTGAGACCACTAGGAGTGATCCCTGAGTACAGAGCGGGAAGTTAGCCCTGACCACTGCTGCATGTGCCCCTCAAACAAACAACAAAACAAAGTCCCCGAAACAAACGACTTTTATATTTTTAAGACTCTTCAATGCATTTTCTTGAGTATGATATCAGTTTTAGATGGAGTAATTTATTTGAAATGTTTTTTGTTCTGAAATAGAAATATATGTTAGAAGTACGTGTAGTAACTTTAAACTGTTAGAATTATTGCTGACTGCAATTTTCTGAAGTTAATAAAACATTTTCATTGGTTGCTTGGGGATACTTGGTGGGAAATGAGGTTTTAAAAAGTTATACATTTAAATATTCTAAATTTTCTTGTAATACGTTTGTTTCTTTGTTTTGGGTACCAGCGATTGAACCTAGGGGTCTCATATATATGAGGCATACATTCTACCACTGAGCTATATCCTGGCCCCCTAAAATTTATTGGAAGAGTTGATAAGAAAATATTTGGTGACTAGTTTATATATAAATGCATGAATATAATTTTTTTAAATTAAGAAATTGTGTATGTGCACATTAAAGCTGCACAGAAAGAAAAATCCTAAATTTTCCTGTTTCTGTTTTATTTCAGGGCTGAAAACAGAGTTAAATCACTTTTTACAGTTAAAGAACTGTTAAGAAGACAACATGGGGACTCCTGGTTCTGGAAGAAAAAGGACCCCTGTGAAAGATCGATTTTCTGCAGAGGATGAAGCATTGAGTAACATAGCGAGAGAGGTGTGTCTGGAAACCCCTGTCAATACTGAGTAACACAGATGATTGAAATGTTGTAAAATAGTGGAATGAGAGAGAGAAAGACATTTGTTTATTCAGCAAGTTTCAGAATTCTTTTTATGAGAACGTTGATGTATCTTCTTTCTAAAGTGTTGCATTAGAATGAAATAGAGTTATCTCTTTCATTATCTCTTCAGTACATCTAAAATTAATACTTTTGTGGGTTGAGTTCTGGGTATGCATCCAAATGTATTGAAAGGGAAAATTATTCTCAGTATTAAAACTTAGGTAATTGGCGTGCTGAAGACATAGCTGTATTGTAAAAGTAGTGATTGGACTGTGTAGTCAGTATATCCTAGGAAGCACTGTATGAACATTGACAGAAGCTGGTTTTGTTTCATTTTGTTTTGTTTTGTTTTTGTGGTGGTGGTTATGGATCACACCCAGCTGTGGTCAGGGCTTGTTTCTGATTCTGCTCAGGGATCACTTCTGTCAGTGTTTAGGGAGCTTAATGTGGTGCTGGGAATTGAACCAGGACTAACCATGTGCAGGCAAGTGCCTCTATCTCTCTGACCTTAGGAAGCAATTCTTATTTGGGGTCTGTTCAGATTCAGTAGGATATTTGCTGTTTTCTGAATATATTGCAGTGAAATTTTTATGTTTAATTTTAAATCAGTAACAGCTTCTTGGAGCATTTTCAGTTTGTTCACAACTCAGAAGAGAGGAGAGAAAAAAATAAGGAAAGGGGTGTAACCTACTGCATGGCTGGCAACACTTCCTATTGCATTGGAAATTTAAGATGATTCATAGCTGTGATTTCTTCTGTGGTGCCAATTTTGCTCAGATTCATTTGTAGCTACAGATCTGACCATAAAATAATCTGGTACAGGAATTTCCTACAGCATTATTTAGTTGCATTCTTCGATGAGAATTGTTCTCTCCATAACTTCCTTTCTGTTATTCTTAGTAAATAACTCATTTAGGACTGGTACTGTTTCCTTTTGACAGATTACACAGTCTTTTTATTCCCCGTCCAGCTCACTTTTATGTTTTGCCTCTTATAATCTGCTTAGATTCAGAATTAGAAGTCAAATTCTGTGGGAGGATATTTACAGTTATTAAAAAAAAAACACCAACAATCCCAGAATAAACCTCTGATGATAAAATTATGCTACTGCTTTAGCAAAATTAGCAAAATTAGAGTTTTTAGATAAATAGATGAAAGATATTTAAAATTAAAATAGTATATATTACCTTACTTTCTGGTCTGGAGTGATAGCACAGTGGGTAGGACATTTGTCTTGCATGCAGCCGACCTGGGTTCAATTCCTCTGCCCCTCTCAGAGAGCCCAGCAAACTACCGAGGGTATCCCACCCACACAGCAGAGCCTGGCAAGCTCCCTGTGGCATGTTCGATATTCCAAAAACAGTAACAAGTCTCACAATGGAGACGTTACTGGTGCCCCCTTGAGCAAATTGATGAAAAATGGGAGGACAGTGCTATAGTGCTACTTTACTTTCTAAACCTTAGGTATTTCTATGAGTTAAGCATTTTGGAAGCTACATGATTTTAGTTGAAAATTGGGACCATTCAAACTATTTACCCCCCAAATTAGAGGGATTCACCTGAATTATTTCTTTCTTTCTTTATTTTTTGGACAATACGTGGTGGTGCTAGGGAAGCAATATGAGGTACTGGGGTTCAAACCCTGATTTTGCATTGCTTGCAATTACAAGGCAATTGCTCTACCTGCCATACTATTTCTCCAGTCCCTCATTTGAATTATCAAAGAGAGAAAATGCCATCATCATCTAGATTCATTCTGTATTGTCACTAAGTTTTTTTTTTTTTTTTTTGCTTTTTGGGTCACACCTGGCAATGCACAGGGGTTATTCCTGGCTCTGCACTCAGGAATTACTCCTGGCGGTGCTCAGGGGACCATATGGAATGCTGGGAATTGAACCCGGATTGGCCGCGTGCAAGGCAAACGCCCTACCCGCTGTGTTATCATTCCAGCCCCGTCACTAAGTATTTTAACACACTCTCTCTCTCTCTCTCCTCTTTTTTTCCTTTTTGTTATATTTTGTTTTCAAAAGTTGGAAACATTCTAGCATCCAGCACTTGAATATTTATCATATGGCAAACACTATTTTAAGCATTTAAGATGCATTAATTTGGGGCTGGAGAGCTAGGTGCCCTCCTTGCATGCAGTCAACTGGGGTTTGTTCCCAGCATCCCATATGGTCCCCCAAATATTGCCAGGGATGAGCCCTAATGCAGAGCCCTGAGCATTGCTGGGTGTGGCTCCACTCCCTAACTCCCCAAAGAAAAGAAAAAAAAAGCATTAATTTGTTTAATTCTCATATAATTAATTGGCTTAATTTTTAGTTTTCATTTTATAGATGAAGAAAATAAATGTACGAAAAATATTTCCCTAAGGTCACATAGCTAGGAAGTAGCAGAACTTGGGTTCAGACACATGAAATCCAGTTTTCAAGTCTGAGCATTTATTTGTTTTGCTTTTGCACCACGGTTAGTGGTGTTCAGGGATGCACTCAGTTATGTGCTTGTAAGTTGCTCCCACTGGTTCTTGGAAGACAGTGTGGTGCCAGGGATTGAAACCAAGCCTGCAGAGCTCATGCCTATGAGCCTCTTCTCTTGACTCACATTAAGCATTTAACTATATTTTGATATTGTTTCTCAGTCTTCAACTTCCCCATTAATCGCTTTTCTTTTTTCTTAAATTTTTATCATTATTTTTGGGGCCACACCTAGTGGTACTAAAAGATGGATAATTCACGATCACGATCATCGTGTTGTTCGTCGATTGCCTTGAGCAGGCCCCAGTAACGTCTATTCGTCCTATCCCTGAGATTTTAAAAAATGCCATATTCAAGGCTCTTTCATGGTTAGGAGAATGAGACCTATCATTGTTACTGGTATTTGGCATATTGGGTATGCCACGGGGAGTTTGCCAGACTCTGCCATGTGGGCAGGTTACATTCAGTAGCCTGCCAGTTTGTCCAAAGTAAGAATGAGATAATAAGATGTTACGCGGCCACATTTGCTGCGCTTCCGGGAGCTGGGTTTTATAGTCTCTGGTCTTGGCCGTTGATGGGATTACATGGCGCTGGGGGTCAGATGATGGGTGTGACCCCGTGCCTACTAGAAGATGGAAGGTCTGGGTGGAGGATGCTCAGCCCTGATCCAAGCAGGCTTGGAGATCTCAGCCCCAGGACCCGCATGCCTTTGTTCCTCTGTCGGTACCTTCATGCGTGTGGAGAGTGGTCTCAGCATGGTTGTGGCTGGTTCTGGAGGTCTTCGGCTGCCGGAGCTCTGTTTGGGGCGGGGAGGGAAACTCAACCCGTTCCCCTCGAAGGGGCCCCCGGCAAGGACAGCCAGGCGCGGGGTCAGGAGACTCTGTGCTGTTCTCTTCTGGGAGCTGGGTTTTATAGTCTCTGGGTCTTGGCCATTGATGGGATTACACGGCGCTGGCGGTCAGATGTGGGTGTGACCCCTGCCTATTTCATGTGTTTGGAGAGATTGATAAAGATTGATAATTGAGTGCATTAAAAAAAATCATGGTAAGGAGCCAGAGAAATAGTACAGTGGGTAGGGTGTTTGCTTTGCATAGGGCTGACACAGGTTCGATCCCTGGCATTCCATATACTCCTCTCGCCCCACAAAAATTTGTGGTAAAATGTAAATAACACAGAATTAATTATCTCAACTAATGTGTTGGGGGTGGGGAAGTGGGGGGAATGGTTCATACTGAATGGTACTCAGGGGACACTCCTGGCCATGCTTGGGGAACCATATGTGTGGTGCTGGAAATTGAAGCCTCATGCAAGGCAGGCATGCCTTGCCCCTGGTACTATCTATTTCTCGTAACCATTTTAAAGTGTACAGTTCTGTGATCTTAAGTACTGTCACATTTTTTTGCTGACATCAGCATCATCTGTCTCTAATACTTGTAAATCCCGGTTGCATTTTTGAAAGATACGGAAATGTGTAAAGCCTGTTTTGTGCAGGCAGGAATGTGGATGGATCTGAAAGTCCTGGCATGCCCATGACAGGCATGTTACTGGTTTTCTATGGGAGCAGAGGCTGTCAAGAGCAGCAGATGTCTAAAGAGATTGCCACCTAGTCCTTCAGGGCATCTGAAGAACAATCTGGATGCTTACTTCTTTTGTTTTTATTTTTAGGTCACACCAGCAGTGTTTAGGACTTATTCCTGACCTTATGCTAAGGGATCACTCCTGGTAGTGTTTGAGGGACCACATGGGGTGCTAGGTATCAAACATTGGTTAACTGTGTGCCAGGCAAGTGCCCTATACACTGTACTATTGGCTCTCGGATGCTTACTTTTGGTGCAGGAAAAATGCACTTGGAAAATTCATTACCTAAATGCAGAGAGCATACCAAATTGTTGACTCTTGGCATCTAGACCACAGAATCCGAAGGATGAGGGTCTAAAGAAACTTTCATGACTGCAGAATTTACATGTGAACATATTGGATACACAAGCCTATTTGTAATAATGAGATAGAAAGGAAGCTTTATACCTCATTAATATTTGTGGCTGCTAGAAATTTTGAGTCTCTAACAGCTTTGAGATAAATTTTGCATAACATAACTTTTCCATTCAGAGCATAAAATTGAAATGTTTTGAATATATGACACTATTAATTTTCTATAGTTGTGATTTTATATATAACTATATTTTATACTAAACAAAACTTGTCATTACATACAGTAAAATTTGCCATTTTAGTCATTGTTAAGGATAGTTAAGGGAATTATCACCCAATAAATTACTATATAAATATTGAACAATAGTTCCCTCATATCTTCCTATTGAGCCCCAATTAACCTCTGAACTACTTTGTCTCTATTTGTTTTGTTTGACATATTTCATAAGGGTGAGATCATACAAAGTTTTTCTTTTATGAATTATTTTACTCAGCACATGTGTCTTTAAGATTCTTTCATGTTGGAGCAC